ATAAAAACACATTGAAAGTTATTAATTAGAATACACTCTCGAAAAACAGAACCAGGAGACCTGGATTCGGATCCTGACTCCAAAAGACACTGAGAATCTTGTGGAGTTAAAAGTGATATTAAAAAATTCTGACTGTGTGTTTTCACATAAAATTACAGATTTTTATGTGAATTGTTACAGAAGTAACAATTTCACAAACCAAGAAAGCATCAGGAAAAGAGAAGATATATTTCTTAAATTATTCTCATCCAGGAACAATGTTGCCTGAGTTAAATAAAGAAGGCAAACTATGAACAAAACTGATGGACACAAAATTGTTTTCCAAGCACTCTTGATTGAGCACAGAGATGATGGTTACTTTTTTTCTAATGTCTTGAGAGAATTTTCAGAGAAAGCTGCATTTCCCTGGGAATTTGCTAGCAGCTATAAATGATTTAACACAATGGTAAAGATAGGGCCACTGTTAATAAGGCAATTCCAACTGCTAACCCACCTGAGGACTCTGAAAGATACCCTAGAAATGAAACCCCCAAGAGACATATCATTGCAAGATCAGTGTTAACTAACTGAGCCACTACCAATGTTCACCTCATAACCACCTGCCTACGCATGTAAGTGAGACTTAGAAAAGGATCTACAAAACATGCTTGTCAGAAAACCTTCATACCGACCTCCAGCCTGGCTCTTTCCTACTGTGTGCCCTCAGGTAAATACATCATTTAACACCTCTTGACTTCAGCTTCTACACTGGTGTGTGAACATAAAAAGTTTCTAAGAGAATGAGATCATAAATGTGAAAATGCTTGTAAATTACACTCACTGCTCCCAGCTTCTAGAAGAATCACAGAGGTAAATGAATTGGATAAATCAAGGATAACTCAAGTCAGGGTCAGGCTGATGGAAGCATTCTCTACTACGCCGTGCTGCTTCCCGAGATGCGACAGTCTGTCTGCTCAGTTCCCATTCTTCCGTATCATGAAGGAGCTTTTGATGCTCCTTGAATCTGATTCTCTTAGTTTATGGGCTGCCTTTCCCAAATCCTCTCCTTCTCACTGACTTTGCATTCCTTTCTCTTTTAATCTACTGATTTCTCTAATAAGATCACAGAATCTCATACTTGGAAAATATCTTTAAAATAATATCTATACTCTCATTTTACTTAAGAAAACAGGTCAAGAAATATTAGTGGCTTACTCACATTTCAAATTATTCCTGTACAGTCTTCTTTCCAATACTTAAAACTTAATGCAGTCCCAAACTGAATAGGCTCAAAAATATGAGTTACATATTTTGACACCTCCTGCTTTCTCTACTATCTGGTTACTAAGTCCTGTTCATTCTGTTATTTAGCCTAAGAATTCAAAGTGAAAGTACTTCTCAGATGAGAATCAAAAGTCATCAAATGTGTGTGGTTACTTTAGTTGAAATCATTGTCTCTTAAGAGCAATTTATACAGTCCATGTGACTAAACTCTCTATCATCATGGATAATAAAATTCAAGATTTGCAAAGGAAAGGCCCATTTCATAATGTTTATAAAATAAATAATCATCCAATGGGACAAGAGTCCAATAATCCTTCTGGACTCTTCTCTAGTAGATATATAAGGGATGTCTAATGGTTTGAAATTTATGATGTGTTATGTAAACATTAGAAAAAGACTTCCAAAATCAAATTTCAATGAACCATCTGTCTGAGGAGGGTGAACACAGGTTGAGTGTCACTGTGAACTTTATTTTGAATTGCATTTATTTTGGTAACCTGCCTCTTAGGAAAATGTCCTAGATGATCTACAACACTGAAAATTAAAAACAAATTTTAAAATCTTTCAAAATTAAGCCAGACATTATAAAAATACAGAGTTGCAGCAGTTAAGCCCCTGAACATGAGATTCGTGCAAAGCTCCTTTGCCCTGCCAAACATGGTTCTTTTAAAAGATGAACAGCAGGTCAAAACTCTAAGCTGTGTCTGGGGCTATAGGAGGGCTTTTCTAGTAATGCTGTAGTTGTTAAAATTCTGATAAGTCTAAATTCTGTACTTCTGCTTGCTGCTCTTTCTAGTGCAAAAGACTAGAAATAGCTCATGCCCCTGTCTTAAGATCACTGGCTTCCAATCACTCTCTCCCACTGTCCAAAGAAAGGAAATGACTTTTCAAAGGTTTTGTGAAGGAGATACACTTAAATCACTGTAGCTACAAAATTTATGAAGCTCTCACTAAAAAATGCCACGCCTGAATAACGGCTTCTAAACCTCCCATACATTTCCTCACCCTGAAATGTCACAGACTCAAAATAAGGAAGATTCTTTAGAAAATGCAGGAGGACTCTACAAAGTTTCTTACCGCAGCAAAGAGAAGACATCATAAGAATTGCGAACACAGTTCTGATCCACCTGAAGAAGAATGTTCTTCTGAGCATTTGAATAACCCTAAAAGATATTAATTAACAAATTAATCAAAGTGAAACAATATGTGCACAATTAATCATGTTTGTCTTTTTAACATTATGATTTATAAACACTTCAGTAAATTCAAATTGTTAAGAGATTCAAAAATTACAACTTCCATATAACTAAAATTTAACATTTTAAGCCAGTGAACTCAAAAATAATTTCCTCTAATATTTTTCCACAGAAACAATGTTTCACATTTTGCAGTGAATTTCGCAGAGAAGCCCCAGAAGTCCTTTTTACATATGTGACTGAAGAAGAGTATTAACAATAATATTTCAAGTATACCTAGTCATTGCATGTAATGTTTTTATGGGGGAAAAGGCATTCCAAGTTCCAATTACGAATACCAGAAACAAACATTTCCACTTAGTGGTCCAAAGATGGTGGAAGCAAGGATAGTTTCTAGAGAAAACATGGCACAATCCATAAGAATTACAGAACGGGTATTTATCATTTAAGGCAGATAAAGTAAATAGTAGTTAAGAGAAAAGGGCTCTGGACCCAGACCACCTGATTACAATGGAAGCCCTTAATACACCAGCTCTGTAGTCTTGAGCAAGGTATCTGCGTGTTCTCAGTTTAACCTTGGTTTCTTCCTCTGTACTATGGAGTGATAATATTACCTACTTCACAAATGGTTGTGGGAATTTAAAAAGTTAACATTTGAAAAGTAAAATATATGTAATAAGCACTATATAAATGTTTGTTATAATACTATTATAAGCATTTTTAAAGTTATGTTGCTACGGACATTAAAATACTACTAACCCATGGTACCTCAAAAAAAGGTTATTAGAATATTATGAACAACTTTATGCTACTGAATTTGACAACTTAGATGAATTAGACAAACTACTTGGAAAAATACAAAATGTCAAAATTGATCATGAAACAGCAACTGAGTAACCCTATATCTTTTTTTAAGTGAATATTTTAAAAAGCTGCCCACAAAAATGTTTAGGTCCATATGGTTTCACTGATGAATTCTACCAAGCATTAAGAAATAACATTAATTAACACAAACTCATTCATAAAATAGAGGAAAAGGGAACAATTTTCAACTCATAAGACTAGCATTACTGATGCTAAAACTTGACAAAGACTCTCTCTCTCTCACACACACACACACACACTCACTCACACACACACACACACACACACATACACACAACTGCAGACCAATATCCCTCATGAACACAGACACAAAAATCCTTGGCAAAATATTAACAAATTAAACTAGCAAGCCCTAACCCATTTGGCTCAATGGATAGAGTGTCGGCCTGCGGACTGAAAGGTCCCAGGTTCGCTTCTGGTCAAGGGCATGTACCTTGGTTGTGGGCACATCCCCAGTAGGAGGTGTGCAGGAGGCAGCTGACCAATGTTTCTCTCTCATCGATGTTTCTAACTATCTCTCTCCCTTCCTCTCTGTAAAAAATCAATAAAATATATTTTAAAAAAATAAAAATTAAAAATAAACTAGCAATATATTATAAGAATAAAATCATAACACACATCATTATTGACTTAATTTATTCTAAAAATGTAAAGTTGGTTTAGCATTTAAAAATCAATCAATTAGATAACATATGAAACAATAATTACAGAACTATCTTGATGATCACACAATTATAAAGATGTAATTTGTGCCCAAGCCAGTTTTGCTCAGTGGCTAGAACAGTGGTTCTCAACCTTCCTAATGCCACGACCCTTTAATACAGTTCCTCATGTTGTGGTGACCCCCAAACCATAAAATTATTTTCGTTGCTTCTTCATAACTGTAATTTTGCTACTGTTATGAATCGTAATGTAAATATTTGATATGCAGGATGTATTTTCATTGTTACAAATTGAACATAATTAAAGCATAATGATTAACCACAAAAACAATATGTAATTATATATGTGTTTTCCGATGGTCTTTGGCGACCCCTGTGAAGGAGTCGTTCGACCCCCAAAAGGGTCGCGACCCACAGGTTGAAAACCACTGGGCTAGAACATCAGCCTGTGGACAAAAGTGTCCCAGGTTCTATTTTGGTCAAGGGCACATGCCTGGGTTGCGGGCTCAATCCCCAGGAGAGGGTGTGCAGGAAGCAGCCAATCAATGCTTCTCTCTCATCGTTGATGTTTCGCTCTCTCCCTCCCTCTCCCTTCCTCTCTGAGATCAATAAAAATATAATAAAAATAATAAATAAGATGTTACTTGTGACAATAGTAACACAAAGGGGAACAGAGCTCTCTTAAAATTATGATATGCTGGAATTGGTCTACGGCAATATATAAGAAAAGTTTTTATACAATAGTAAAACTAAATTGATATTAATTTGAATTAGATTGTTGTAAATTAATGTTAATTGTAATCCCAAGGGTAACCACTAAGAAAATAACTAAAAGACACATAGTAAAATAAATGAGAAAAGAATCAAAATGTTACATGAGAAAGAAGATAACACCAAAAAAGGTAGTAATGAAGGAAATAAGAAGCAAAAATGATATAAGAAAGCAAATAGAAAAATGGCAGAACTTCCATATCTGTAAGTACATTAAGTGTAAGTGGATTGAAAGGCAGAGGATGGCAGAAAATATATTTTTAAGCAACCCACTATAGGCTATCTACAAGGGATGCACTTTAGAACCAAAAACACAAATAGATTGAAAATTAAAGAATGGAGCCTGGCCGGTATGGCTCTGAGTGTAATTTATAGCTGCAAACATCTACGTCTAAAAAAAAAAAAATAGAGCTCAAATCAATAATCTTCTACCTTAAGAAACTAGAAAAAGAATAAACTAAACCCAAAACAAAAAAGAAGGAAATAATAAAAATTAGAGCAGAGATCCATGGAATAGAAAATACAAAAACAACAAAGAAAAAAAATCAACAAAACCAAGTTAGTTCTTTGAAAAGCTCAGCAGAGCTGACAAACCTTAAGCTAGACTGAGCAAGAAAAAAACAGAGAAGACTCAAATCACTAAAATCAGAGTGAAAATGAGAACATTATCACCAACCTTAGAGAAATAAAAAGTAGTTCAGAAGAACACTATGAACAATTGCATGCCAACAAATCAGATAACCTAGATAAAATGGAAACAACTCGAAACACAAAAATAACTCAAGTAAAAACAGAAAATCTGAAAAGACCTACAAACCGTCTAAAAGTTTAGCTAAGCTTCTCCTCGGTATTGCTGCTTGGCATCCATTTTACTTGAGCAAGCAGCCCACAAGGACCTTCCCTGACAGCCCCTCGGGGAAGCGCACACCTGGATGGCAGCTCGCAGAGTCGGAAGCAAATGTAAGTTCCTGGTCTGACTTGTGGTCAAGCAGACTCCTCGCTACCGGCACCCGTATGCCTTACGCACCCACTGGATAAAAACCCAACGGAGGTGAGGGCATGAGTGGGGGGGTGGAAAGGCAATGAGGGGATAGGACACATATGTAATACCTTAATCAATAAAGAAAAGAAAATTAAATAAAAAACAAACAAACATGGAGACTACCAAAACTCTGCTCCTTTGGTTTAAATTGACCAGCTCAGCCCTAGCCCAGGCAGCCCAAAGCACTTAAAGGCATGTACCAAGGTGCTGCCTCTGTTTCCTGCCCCTAGGTGGCTCTCTGAGGCATGTCCTGTAATTCCTCTAGAACCTGTGAGTAATAAACTTCTCTATTTCAGTTTCTCTTATGATCTGTGGTTAAATCATAGCTCACCATCTGGCCCCCTATGCTCCACTTAACAAATGTTAATTTAACAAAGTCAGAATACAAGTAAAAAGGTTGAATCAGTAATCATAAAAATCTCAGGAAAGAAAAGCCCAGAACCACATGAATTGACTGATGAATTCTACCAATCATTTTTTTTTAAATAGTAACACTAATCCTTCTCAAAGTCTACCCAAAAATGGAAGAGGAAGAAATATTTCTTAACTCATTTTATGAGACAAGTATTACTCTGATAACAAAGCCAAATAATATCACAAGAAAATTATAGACCAATATCCCTTATGTATACAAATGTAAAAATCTTCAACAAAATATTAGCAAAATTAATCCAGTAGAATATTTAAAAAGGTGTATGCCATTTGGTCCAGCAATTCTACTTCTGGACATATATCCAGAAGAATTACAAGACTCAAAGAGAGATTTTTTACATCCATGTTCAATAATAGCATTATTCACAACAGTCAAGTGGTAGAAGAAACCCAAGGTCCATCAACAGATGAATCAACAAACACAATGTGTAGCATATATTCATACAATGGAATACTATTTAGCCTGATAGAGGAAGGAAATTCTGATGTGTGCTATAATATGGACATTATCTTATATAATAAAAGGCTAATATACCAATAGACCAAATGGTGGAACCGAACAACCGGACATGCGCTGACCACCAGGGGGCGCGCACAGAACATGGAACATGGTGGGTGTCGGCCACAGCAGGATGGTGGAGCAGGTGAGTGGGGTGCCAGCCGAAGTCGGGGCACCAGTCACTGTCTCCAGGGCAAGCCTCTGGTGGTTACTAAAAATTCTTTGCTCCTGCGCACTGTGGTCCTGCCCGGTGCTTGCACCTGCTGCCGGCACCGGCCCAGCTCACACTCGCAGCTGGCGCTGAAGCCACGGCTTACACTCGCTGCCAGCACCCGGCACCAGTCCTGATCGCTTGGCGCCATCAGTGGATGCGAGCAGCGACTGCTGCTCGGATAGCTCCTGAGGGCTTCTCCACCTCCCCCGGCTTCTGAGGGGCAATCGGGGCAGCAGCTGCCACTCACACCCACTGACGGCACCAGCCCTGCTCCAACCTGCTGCTGGCACTGGCCCCAATTGCTCCACGCCGTCAGCGGGTGCACGCAGGGCTGGTGGCGTCAGCCCATGGGAACGGGGCTGTTGGCAGGCAGGGAACCAGGGGCCACGGCGGGAGGGACTGGGCGGGGGCGAGGCTGTGCCCACTGCAGCCTCAAAGCCCACACAGTTCCTTTCAAGGTAC